TGTTAGGTTCCTTAAAAATGGAAAGAAAAGTTATACTCAGATCACCTTTGGCAATGGAATTTTAGTACAAGGATTTACTGAGATATAAGGTAGCCCAGGACAATATTCCTGAGTCAGTTACTCCAGGAACTTCCCAGACTGGAAAGTATAGCGTGATAGGTCTCATGGAAAATTGGAATCATGCCTATATTCTCTTAGTTCATAAGGCATTTTTACTTTAGAGAGGGAGAGAATGTGAGTAAGCCCCTATACAACCATTCAAAATGGAGTGCCAAAATTGGTTAGAATTTTAATGCCACACCAACACAGGAGTTCAGCCTCCTTTGTGTCCAGTCTTCACAGAGGTTCAAACATTTGTAGCCCAGGATGAATAGGCTGGTTTCACTCAAATCTAACACAAGTCATAGCAACTCAGAGCAGTTTGCTTAAGGAGGACATCATAAGTATAGTGGGTATTCAGCATTTCACAAACACGGCTGAAACAGAAGAGACACTGAAATACTAATTGTTTAAAATTTCCTTTCATATTTAAACTAAATATGTATCTTGACTCTAAAAACTACATGGACCCTTGATACAACTCTTTTGGAAACTCATATAGCTTACATTTTTTGCTTGGCAGTATTAAAATCCTTGAAGATCTGAAAATACAATATATTCTATTCAGTAATCAATTGCAATGTCTTGGATTACTGGTTTATAATTCCATTTTGATGATAGTAACACCTTAGGTTTCTCATCATGGGTTTATTAAGCCACTTTAAACAAGTACTAATTTCATGAGTCATGAATAATCTTTTGAAACTTAAAATATTAAGCAAAAATGTCTTAAGTTTTACTTAGTACATTCTGTAAGTGTGTACTGATTTTGTTTGGAGAAGCGGTTTAGCAAAATGGAATAACACTTAGATCAGGGATCTGGGACTAGGACATGGTAGGACTTTTCCTACCTAACCATGCAATTTGGGCAAGTTATTTAATCTCCTAGGCCTTTGTTTCTTATTCTACAAAATGTGGAAGATAAATCACTATTCTTCTTCCTATATTCTTTATTATATATACTTCATTTCTATTAATAAGTAAAAATAACCATTTTTGGTTTTAGCATTTAATGTCTCCTTTTTTTCAGTTTAACCTTAATTACAAAGGGCCCTAGTCACTTCTGGAAAATAAACTAAATTGTATGTCCTGTAAATATTTGTCTGACGAAGCCTGTGACATTGTGTATGGATTTCTGGCATTGCAGGAAATGTGATTCAGCAATCAATGCATGGGGAGCCCCATGAGCACCTGTCCGACTAGAATGGGGAGTTGGTGAAAGAGGGGAGTTGGAGTTATGAGGCATAGTAAAACTGGGATAAGTTATGGAAGGCTTTGAATGATGGATTTAGGAATTTGAAGTTCATCTTACATGCAATAGGGAGTCATCTTTTAAAAAAA